GGACAAAAGATACCACTGTGTGACGCAGCTTTTCTCAGCTTGTTTAACTCCGACACTGAAGAGGAGGACTTCGATGTTTTCAGTGCGCTGAATGAGACGTTTTGTTGGACCAGAAACTGTTAAAGAAAACTACCAAAATAAGGTCAGTTAAATGAACCGTATTCCTCCGAACTTTAATTCCTAAAGGTTTGCTTTTTATGTTTTGATGTTGAATTCACTTTTTTGACGGCAAATTTGGGTGTACTGTTTTTTTTTTTTTTATGTTGGGGGTGTGGCTTATACTCCGGTGCGGCTTATATGTTAATGTTCGCAGATTTTTTTTTTAAAAAATGGCGGGTGCGACTTATAGTCTGAAAAATACGGTAATGTAAATTAGGGGTGAGACTCTCAGAAGGAGTGGACAGACTAAAGGTTTTACATTCGTGCTGTTTATAATATAAATGTGACAAACCTCCAGAGGAGAAATAAAGGTCATTCACTTTGTCATTAGTTAAAAAAACAAAACAAAAAAAACAGGCCTCAAACAGAACTCACTGGTGGCCATAAAATAAAGCATTCCAGCAACTACGGAGCCTCCAGCTCCGTGCAGGATGGCTTCTCTGGAACATGGAACCTTCTTGACATCCAGGATCCACAACAACTTGAACCCCTAAAGGACAGAGAAAGAAAGGACAGGGAGCTTTTAATGCCTCGTGACGTCCCACACAGATATTTGAATATGTGCATTTGAATATGTATCCAATTGAACAGATGCAAAACGTTGTTGATTAAATCACTGAATTACAATAATAAATTCACAGACAGGTGACAGGTAGTGGGGCATTTTGATGACCTGGTTTAGGTTTCCACTTGTCCCATTAAAAGGTTCATAGCAAATCTATTTTCTCCCAAGAGAAAAACAAACCAGACAAATCCTTTCTGTGCTAAGATAGAACAGACTGACAAACATAAACATGAGGGTTCAGGCACCAAACAAAACACCTGAAAACACTGAAATTTTCTATTCAGGCATGTTTTCAAAGATTCATGCTGTTAAATATAAATGACAAGGCAATCTGAAGATATTGTGGTAACATCAAGCCTTTTTTTAAAGATCCTTAATGCAAGCTGTTTTTTCTTTTCTTTGATGTTTTAACACTAGTTTTATGTCCTCAAATAAACAAGCAGAACTTCTTTACAGTATATAATAAAATAAACACATGTGTACAATACTGGTCGTAATAAAATCAAAGGATTTAATAAAAGTATATTCTACGGAGTAATGGTTTGTTACCAGAAGAAATAAAAAAATATTCATGTAAACATGTTCGCCTGTGAGCAGCAGGTTACGTGAAGGTTGTGTCCTTGACCGAGTCACGTTATGGAAACTCATTTTAATTGAAATACCACTAGGTTATATTTCTGAACGAAAAAAAAAAACAACTTTTTTTAAAGATACTTGATGAAAGTAACATTAGATTTAACATAAGCTGCGGTTGCGACAGTTGATATAAATTTGTGATTTTAAGAAAACACGAAGCTAAAAACATGTTTTGTAACAATCTGTAACATGAAGCTCTTTACCTTATTCTGACTCGACTCTTCTTCTTCTGCCATCGTCTTGTTTTGTTATCCTCCGTAAAATACCTCAAAATACAACCTCAACATAAAACAGTAGTAGCCGTACGCATGCGCGTTAACTGCAGAAGTCCGTCTGTTTTAAGTTGCCGATAATAAACAACTAAAGAGAATCTTTGGTTCCCCCTCGTTTGTCCTGGGAGAGCAGTTTTAAGGCGTATGCCTACCTTGGGAGGAATGCCCTTTGAATTGTTTAATTCAATTAATTCAAAAATATATTGTAATGCTTTTGCTGTGACTTACTCAACTTTCATGTTTTTTTTTTTACTCTGCACCTTTTCTGTTACACATCAGTTCAACAATTAAGAAAAGGCTTACTTCTCCCCACATTTTTTTCCAACAGTAACAAATATTTGACATTTTTAGCATGTATAATACAACATACCTAAATTTCTAAAAGTTCCAAAAGTATGTATTTACCTGGTGCATTTGTCACAATCTAGCCATAATGTGGCAAGAGCAGACTAAAACCCTTCATGTTATTTTCAGCTATTATGCTTACACATATATAATATGTCATATATAACAAGACAACAAGAGTTGCAGCTGTGCGTAACCAGTTCATTTTATTGTTTTAGAGCAAATGGTGTTGTTTTATTGGGGGTTATAACAATTAGATCAAATTATTGTGTTGGTCATAACCCCCCACGCAAATTATGCCTATAAAGCAGTGAAGCAGTTTTAAGAATTTTCTCCCCCAAGAAATTGAATATGTTAAATGTGATTTTTTTACAACACTTGTTTTTTCAAATGAAAGATCTTAAACATGTCATAATGGTAGTTATATTTTTGTGGAGGTTTGTCAGTTGCTTACAATAATGTAATAGTAAACTATTACATTATTGTAAGCAACAACACCTTGAAAGTATTTATATAAAAAATAGAACATGTTTTACTCTAAGAAAATATATTTGCTTGTAATATATTTTGTTTTATACTCTGAATATATTTATACTTTCTTTTACAGTCCGCTTAGTACATTTAGTCCAAATAAATTTGAAGATTTAAACCTTACCATACCCTGTATTACAAACATCCTGACAGGAATCATGTGGTATTAAACAAGAGGATTAAAGTCTGAAGTAAAAAGTGCCAAACTGGAAGTCAGCATGTCACAGTGATCGTCCATTTATAAAACAGGATTATCTCACCAGGAGACAATCATTATTCATCTATCTGCATCAGTGTTAGATGCTACTTTCTTAATATGCTACAAATCCAGCTAAGCAAAATTTATGGTACAGTCAACCAGCTTGTTTATTTCAAAAGTATATACACAGAGGAACTAAAGTTAATCTGGGAAATAAGGATTATTTCTTGTTCTGTGATGGAGATGTCCTTGGCACATACAGTATGTCAAATGAGTCTTCTTTATAGGTGTGAAAGTTTGGTATTCAGTATGTTGCCATTGTTAAACATAACCATATTGAAAGAAGTGAAAAGATACTTTAGAAAGAAAGATACTAATAATAATAATAATAAATAATAAAGATACTTTATTCATCCCAGAGGGAAATTAGGTATCTCAACAGCTCAAAAACTGAAGTGTTTCAAATTGGTACTAAACATGAAATTCAACAACAAACACATTCTCAGCATCACTTTCTCTGGCCAGAACAATGGGCCTCATGCAAAAACGTGTTCGTATTCTTCTCCTAAATTTCTCTTACTTTTGTTCGTACAAAGGGTTCGTACGAACATGTCACGTCAGATTCAACAAACTCTTCTATCTTCAGGAAAAGTGTGTAAATGAGCTGCGTAAATTACACCTGTTCTATCCAGCTGCTCGTGCACGCGAGAGGAGATTAGCATAATTACCACCCCAAAAACACCATATAAGGCTATGTTTCCTACCTCAGATATCAGGAAGTGTCCATTCATTCATGAAGATGACAGCGAAAACGTAAAAGAACTTTACGAGTTCAGAGATTGAAGTCCGTCTGTCAGAGATCCAGAAAATAAAATCTGTCATTTTTAGCAGGTCAGCTGTGGAATAAAAAGAGCTGCTAAAAGTATAAACAACTGTGTTAAATCATTTTCATTTAATCAGAAGCCGCAGCGCTGCGCACCGTGCTCCCCCCACCGCGCGCTCTGCGGTGGTCTCAGATGCGGGTTTGAAATAAGCATTTTAAAATGTTTTCAAAATAAGTCTGGCACTTTGGAGAAAACCCAGGACTCACTGGAGGGATTATTTATCCCCTCTGGTCTGGGAACGTCTCAGAGTCCCCCAGGACGAGCTGGAAAGTGTCGCTGCGGAGAGAGCGGGGTCTTTCTCCAGCTGCCCCCCTGCCGCACCTGATAGCAGATAAGCCGGCCGGACGGACAATTTATATTGTTAGTCTAAATTATTACATTTAAAATTATAACTCTAATTCAAGCAGAATAGCCTATTGTCAACATAATTATGGAGTGTGATTTATTTTCAACTCAAAATATCTTCAAACTAATGAAATATAAAGTTATTAGTGAAGAAAACCCGTCTGGATAACAGCAGACTGACTGCTCGTAAAATATACAACAGGTCTGGACCTCTTGTAAATTTTGTTCGTATCTGAAAAAAATCTTAGAATACGAAAACATGGGTGAATGCCACAAATTCTCCTAAATCACTCGTACGCACAACTTAAGAACAAATCTGTGCGTACGAACGGTTTTTGCATGAGGCCCAATCCTCTTTTTAGTATGGTCACCAATCTTGGTGTTATCTTTGATCTACAGCTCACCTTTGACAGCCATGTTAAGCATATCTGCAAAATTTCTGTCTTCCACCTCGGAGATATTGCAAAACTGCTGCCTTTGGGCGTCCCTTTCTGATGCAGAAAGGCTCGTCCATGTCTTTGTCTCCTCCGGACTAGATTATTACATCACATTTCTCATTGGGATTCCTGGCAAGATCATTACAGTAAGTTCAGAAATATGCTGCCAGGATCCTCAAGAGAGTGTGTTAACATGAACATATTGTTCACTGGCTTCCTATCTCTACCCGGAATACCTGTAAAATCTCTCTGCTCACCTTCAGCTGCCTGCATTATGCACCAGTCAGGCCTTCTCCCTTTTGTCCCTCACGCTCTTCGTTCTTCCAACATCCACCTTCTTTGTGGTCCCAGGACTTGCTCCTGCACCTGGGAGACTGGGCCTTTTCCTGCACTGCCCCTCAGCTGTGGAACTCTCTGCCTTCACCTCTGAGGGCTCCACAGACCATGATATGCTATAAAACAGACCTGAAAACCTTTCATTTTACAAAATGTCTTCAGTGATTTCCCTTTAAATGCTCCATCTTGTCTTCAATAATTTTTTCATCAGTTCTACTGTGTGAATGCTTATCAAGCATTTTTTTTTTGTCTTCCGCACATATTTTGGCACGTCTCGTTCTGCAATTTTTGTGCAATTTCAACAATTTATATATCAAAACATTCAACTCCTTCAACACATTCTGGCTATGACTTTTGGTACTTAAAGGCACAGTGTGTAGGATTTGTTGTTTTCAGCGACATCTAGTGGTTAAAAGGTTGAATCATCCTCCCTGGTCCTCCCCCCACCCCCACCCCCGTTTCCAAACGCAAAGGAGTTGCTACGGTGTCTCTCAGGTGTCAAAAACCTTTGTTAATTCCAACCGCGATGTCTACCAGCAGCTTCAGGGCTAGTGATGTTTCAAGTGGTAAGATTATGAGCTTTAATAAGTAAAATTATCCCAGCTACAATGACAGACAACAAATATTACATTWATAGKATTACAACTAAAACCGTTTTTGACGCCGCCACCGCAGTTTGTCCTTCATGAGCCTTCGTAGACAAGATGGTGGTGCAAGATGGCGGCTGCCTGTTGTGGCGACCCGCGACCATGGAGATATAAACAGCTTTTTATAAGGTAAAAATAATAAAACAAGGTCTTTGTCTGCAATTATAAGACCTGTTTTTATTATTGTCATTAGTGATTATCTCAATTTCCACTAAAAGAATTGACAAAATCCTACACACTGTGCCTTTAAGCAATTTATACTTTTTGAGATATTTAGCTTTGTTTTCTGTCATGTTTTTTTCATTAAAAATTAATGGAGCTGTCTTCAACATCCTTCTTTATATTCATCTTTTTGTGGTAATTTCAATCTCTTACTGTTTAACTCAAGCTTTTAAAAGCTTTTTAATATTTTTAAAGTTATTTTAGACTAGTTTCAGCTTTTTAGCTATTCAACAAAAATCTTTTCGCATTAACTATTCACAGGAAATGCACATAACTCTACTTTATTTTGTATTTTATTTATTATTATTATTATTATTATTATTATTAGTAGTAGTAGTAGTAGTAGTAGTAGTTGTAGTAGTAGTAGTAGTAGTAGTAGTAGTAGTAGTATGCCCTTTTGTGAAATTATTGAATTTCTGTATAGAACAAATCAAAACTATCACTAAGAGCTATAAAAAAACAAGATTCCAGTGTGCAGTTATGCAAACATTTATAAATCACAATTGGACAGTGTCTCATTGTATCAATGGAAAGTTGTTTACTGATGTTTCACTTTTACTATTATGTTGGATTTTTCAAATTAACAGAGAACTTAAATTCTCTTTTATGGATGTTAAATACAAAACTAGCAGTAAATCTTCACACAAGGGATTGTGATCTGTGCATATTTGGACCCATGAGCCAATCAGGTTCAATCTGAGCATGCTCAAACACCAGCTATAATCAACTGGAGAGGGGTTTCATGACCCAAAGTTGTCAGTTAAACAGTTTAGATGCAAAAATATACAGCCCTTGTGATTTGAGATTCATAATTAAATGTCTTTATAGTTATGATACCCTTGTCATCTACAAGGATGAATTTGTCTTTTTAAATTTTGATAATTCATAACATGATAGTTTCTGTATAATACATTTTTATGTTTTACTAATCTTTGATGTTCTATTTGTTCCAAGTCAAACAAAATAAATTAGGCTGAATAAACAATCTTTCGACAATGATCTCATGTTTTTCACCAGGAGATGTGCTCTTGGCGGTGGCCTTGAGTTCATCCAGCTCCTAATCTTTTTAGGAAAACAGGATTTAAAAAACAGGCTGTAAAAATGATTCAATTACGAGTTAATCCCATGGATTAATTAAGGTCGAAACAATGTTCCATCTATGTATCAAAAACAAGTCATCAGAGCTGAACGGTGTGACCTCCAGTGTGAGCAGGTTCAGTGTTGTGTATAAAACCTGCAGAGCAGCTAACCTCCTCACACCACCTGCAGACTCCTGACAGGTAAGTTACAGCTGGCATTATTACTGGATTTATTATTCTTTTATTGGCCAATGATATACATAGAAAATACCACAACAAACACAAACAACTGTCCATTGTGTCCCTCACAGGATGACGGCTCAGGTCAGCAGAGCGATGTTTCCTCTGATGCTGAGTTTAGTTGTAGGAGCCTCTACCTTTATCTGGATTCTGACTCCAGCAGGTAAAAAATAACAGTTTTATGTTTAAACGGCAGGCAAGAAAATGGTTTTAAACTTCTTTCATACACTTTTTCTGGCTATTTTTAATTGCTTGCTGCCATCTGTGTGTTCCTGTGTCTGCTAGCAATTCATGGACCACTGGACAAAAATTGAAACTTAAAAGTTTGAAATTAATCAGTGGATGTAAAATCACAACTTAAGTAGGCAACTGAATTTAACCCAAAATGCAAAAATGACCACAACTCAGTCAATTGTAAAGATATTGATCTAAAACTTGGTGTGGTAGTAGCTGAAACTCATCCCTAACAGAAATAAATAGATTGTAGAAGACATTTGTTCATTTTTCATCATTTTACAGCTTCTGTAGTCAAGGATCAGACCACCAAGGTCCCCGCCTTCGACCATTGCACATTGCACATTGCACCCGACCCCTACGGCCCCTCCCACAGGTGGTGAGCCCATGGGAAGGAGGACCCACGTCTCCTCTTTGGGCTGTGCCTGGCCGGGCTCCATGGGTGAAAGCTCGGCCACCAGGCACTCACCAACGTGCCCCACCTCCAGGCCTGGCTCCAGAGTGGGACCCCGGTGACCCACGTACAGGCGAGAGAACACAGTCCATTTGTGGTGCTCGTCATTAGGGGTCTTTGGGTTGCACTTTGTCTTATCCCTCACCTAGGACCTGTTTGCTTTGGGTGACCCTACTGGGGGGCATGAAGCCCCCGACAACATAGCTCCTAGGATCATTGGGACACTCAAACCTCTCCACCACGATAAGGTGGCAGCCCAGGGAGAGGGAAAGAACAAGACTGCTGATACAAGCGACCAAAATTGAGTTTCCTTTGCAGGGTGTCTGGGCTCTCCCTTAGAGATAGGGTGAGAAGCTYGGTCATCTGGGAGGGTCTCAGAGAGCCACTGCTCCTCCACGTTGAGAGGAGCCAGTTGAGGTGGCTCGAGCATCTGGTTAGGATGTGTCCTGGACGCCTCCTTGGTGAGGTGTTCTGGGCAGATCTCACTGGGAGGAGTTCCAAAGGAAGACCCAGGACACAATGGATGGACTATGTTTCTCAGCTGGTCTGAGAATGCCTTGGGATTCCCCCAGAGGAGCTGACCCAAGTGGCTGGGGTGTCTGGGTCTCCCTGCTAAGGCTGCTGCCCCCGCGACCCGACCCCGATAAGAGGAAGAAAACAGACGGATGGAATTTAATGGAACTTTTAGGACATTGTCATTAAAAGTACATCACTTTTGGACCTTGCCTAATTCAAAATGGCCACTACAACTGATTCAGAAAACACAGACATAACTATGATGCAGTAAATTTTACAGACATTTAACTAAATTTAGTTGGGGTATGTGTAAAGTCCTGTCCTGTTGGGAAGGTTAAACTGTGGAGTCTGGGTGTGTTTGTTCTAAATACACCTGGTTAGCTTTTGGAGTCAATACAAATCAATCCTGCCACAGCTAATCCACACTGGTCAGCACAAAAATGACTATAACTAAGTCACCTTCACAAATAATTAGCTAAATTTTGATGTGGCAGTCGCAGAGATTACACTCTAACACATACTCTGAACATGACATCTTATGATATCACATGAGACTGTGTAACACTGATTTCAAGGTTTGACCAAATCAATCAAAAGTCAAATTATGATGATTTTAGTTGAAAGCTCTGGTATGAAAAGCTTAGTGCAAATTGTTTTTTAAGGAATGCTAGGCCTTTAATTTTGTTTTGATTAAAAGTAAAATAAGTAAAAACCATAATGAAACAATTAGTTGTTGCACAGATTAAAGTCTTGAGATTTAAATCTAACACCTTTCCATTGAAATTACAAATGCCAAAGATAAAAATCTCATTTGTACAAAATAATACACTGAAAAAAAAACATCATTACCTTCATGACTGTAATTTAAACTTGACTATTAAAGTGTATTGGCTATCGATTTTTTTACACATCCCATGCAAGTTTATGTTTGTGCAAAAGCTGAACCCTAAACATCACCAGATGATTTGAGGAAAAGGGCTTCCGTCTTTTTCAAATAGAATGCCCTTCTCATAAATAAGACCCAAACACTTTCCACGGACCCTTCATAGCCTTTAAAAAAGAGGAGTGGGTTTCCTATTTCTTAGAATTTCCTTGTCCCCCTATGTGCCACAGAATACACACAGGTCTAAAGACTCCTCCTGGTGTAGCAATCCAGATAGAGAAAATTGTTTTCAATTCTGCTAAAACATAGCTTTCCTTCAGCTTTATGGCCGGAATGCTGGTGAAAACCAGATTACCACAAAAAAGAGACATGTAAGTGGACAATTGGAGTCAGTTCCTCACCTTGGGTTATTAGGGACAAAAGGTTTCCACTAGTATCTCAGTGGGAGAAGTTGATGCAGAGTTTAAACTGACATAGAGTTCTTGTCTAAAGTTGTTTACGTTGAAAGCAGATGCCTTCCTACACAGTTCCGCTCAATTTTAGTTTCCCTTCTCTGCTCCATCTGGGATTTCTCCCATAGACAAGGTTTTCTTTGGTAGAATTTTACCTGGACCAATCAGCAAACAGAAGGAGGAGTTTTGAACTACAACTTAGATTTTCTGCGCAGTGTCTGCTTGTAGTTTAGCCATGGCAGTGGATGAAATGAATGAATCCAGTCTGTGTTGATGAAGCTTCCAAATTAAATAAAATTAGTCTCACAAATCCTGCAGTTCTCAGCCATCTTATTTGGCTCGGTTCTTCTCTCAGTGGGAGATGGTTGTTTACAGTGCACACGCAATTTCCGGTTAGCTTCTTAGCTTAGCCTCCCTCACAGTGAAGCTGGCGCACATTTGTCACGGTCAACCATTAGTGATTGGGTAAATCAGATCCAATAGTTTTAAACATCAACAGAGGCCTACAGGAAGCAATCACTTCTCAATTGTCGAGAGTCCAGACCCAGTACGAAGCAAAACGAACGACAACGGGCTGGTTTTTACCAGACTAATGTAGATGGTCATTCAGGAAGATTTTTATCCTGACTTGGATATTATGTCACTTTGATCACCACATTCTTACTTTTAAATCTTGAGATATTAATCCGATGTTGGCGTGGTGTGAGGATATATAAATGAATAGAAAACCCATCCTCTTTTCTGATTGGCTGAAGTAAATACAATACGCTGATTAATACATTTCTGTGTGTGTATCTATGGATGTGTTGTAGTGAATGTGTATGCAAGGTTTTGGGTGGTCTTGTGGGAGGAGAGTGGGGGTTATGGGGAAAGTTGAACAGAGTTATGGGTGTGATTTTGGGTCTGACTGCTATCAATCAACATTTGACAAAAGCTTGGGTATGCCATTTTACTGCCATAGAAAATGATGTCAATAAACGTTCAACTTTCTCACCATATTTTCTCGATGTAAAGAAAAAGTTGATTTTTATTCAAGCTGAAAATATTTTGTCCCCAGTTGCCTTCCAGCTGCCTCTCTGCCAGCTTGTCAATCAGACAATTTCTCTGGAAAAGGAGGGCTGTTCCGGGTGTCATCCAGTGGAAACAACCATCTGCAGTGGGCATTGCTTTACCAAAGTGAGTAGTGAACGAAAAAGTTAGAAAACTGGAGGTCAATTGGAGTCTATAACCTCAGGGCTGTAGGTCTACTTCTGAGGTCAAATTTTTCATTAGGAGCTTTTTGATGGATGATGTTTAGAGTTGTCATTCTAAAAGTTATTTAGGTGAATATTTACTGACTTTGTGATAACATTAACTTTCTCTTGCCCTTAACCGTTGAAGGTATCTGATGGTGATTTTAAAAAAACAAGGCATGTTGTGATTTCTGCTTCCTTGCAGTATCCCATCATGGCTATAAGATTCAGCAAAGTGTACCAGCATGTGTGCACATATCAGGACATTTACTACAAGACCTTTGAGCTTCCTGACTGCCTGCCTGGAGTGGACCCAATCGTCAGCTACCCCGTGGCTTTAAGCTGCCACTGTGGCCGCTGCGCTATGGACACGTCTGACTGCACCTTTGAGAGCCTGAATCCTGACTTCTGCATGAATGATATTCCTTTTTACTATTAGACTTTAGTCATAGCAGCTTTTTTGATAATTAAGGTTAAAAATTATTTGTTCAGAGTTGCTATGACTGTTCTATTTAAAATATTAACTGAAACATGATTAACTTCAGTCTGTGGTACAACTTTATTTTCTTTTATTTTGCCACTGTATTATACTTTCATCATGTAAAGCACTTTGAATTGTCATGTAGCTGAAATGTGCTATACAAATAAAAATATTTTGGCTTACAGTTAACAGTACAATAAATAGATACAAGAGTGTATATAAGCCATTGGCTTTAATTACTTGACCGTGTCCCAAGGGGGGCCTTGTGGGGGGTTCTCTGGGAGTATGGGGTACCGGGCCATTTGATACGGGCTGTCAGGTCCTTGTACGACCGGTGTCAGAGTCTGGTCCGCATTGCCGGCAGTAAGTCGGGCTCGTTTCCGGTGAGAGTTGGACTCCGCCAAGGCTGCCCTTTGTCACCGATTCTGTTCATTACTTTCATGGACAGAATTTCTAGGCGCAGCCGAGGTGTTGAGCGAATCCGTTTTGGTGGCCTTAGGATCGCATCTCTGCTTTTTGCGGATGATGTGGTCCTGTTGGCTTCTTCGGAACGTGATCTGCAGCTCTCGCTGGAGCAGTTCGCGGCCGAGTGCGAAGCGGCCGGGATGAGGCTCAGTGCCTCCAAATCCGAGGCCATGGTCTTGAGCCGGAAAAGAGTAGAGTGCCTTCTCTGGGTCAGGTGGGTCGCCCTGTCTCAAGTGGAGGAGTTTAAGTATCTGGGGATCTTGTTCACGAATGGGGGAAGAAGAGAGCGGGAGATCGACAGGCGGATTGGCGCAGCATCTGCTGTAAAGCGGGCGCTGTACCGGTTCGTCGTGGTGAAGAGAGAGCTGAGTCAGAAAGTGAAGCTCTTGATTTACCGGTCGATCTACATTCCTACCCTCATCTATGGTCATGAGCTTTGGGTCATGACCGAAAGAACGAGGTCCCGGATACAAGCGGCCGAAATGGTTTTCCTCCACAGAGTGGCTGGGCTCTTCCTTAGAGATAGGGTGAGAAGCTCGGTCATCCGGGAGGGACTCAGAGTAGAGCCGCTGCTCCTCCACGTCGAGAGGAGCCAGTTGAGGTGGCTCG